GTCAATAAACCTTAGAAAATCTTGAAATCTTGAAAGGGATGTGCAAAATAGTAATTATATACAGTCTTTAGTGAACTATTAGTAGAGAATAACGAGTAATGAATATACTTTATAGGGATCCTATTAATATCTAATAATAAAAATAATGAAATGCAATAACCTGCTTTAACCACTAGGTGTCCCTTTATATCAGCTGTGCACCTTTATGGTGTAAATACAGCCTATCTACCAATTGGATCAAATATAAAAGTCAGCCGAATTAGTGTTGATACTGCAAGGAGACGTATTGTGTGAAAATAAATGTAAGATGTTGTTTAATGGCTGATATATTTATGACCCACGTCACGTTTTCAGTTCCTCATGTTTGTCTAGAAGTCTTCTCATCAGGGCTCTATAAATAGAGAACTACGGCAGATATGTAATATTTAATGCAGCCGAACCGTGTATTACAATGCCGTTATGTGATGACTTTCAAAGAGAAAATCAAGCACACTCGGAATAAAGTATTATTTTTTTTTTTTTAAATGTTTTCGGTCTGTTTCCGGTATTTGTTAATGACGATGTGCTGTGAGATGTGAGACTGGAATTGCACAGGGGAAAATAACGTATCTCTAGATGCGGATTTTGTTAAACTAATATGTTTGCGCTGTGGACCAACACTATACATTGACGGGGAAGGGGGTAGCAATAAAGATAACACCATTAAACAGTTACACAACATAACAGAAATAATATCGATAGCAGCGTCCCTAGCAACCACCTTGGTAACAATGAAAACGTCGCGATTTCCTGAAGTAATCTTCGTAATAACTAGCAAACTAAAGATCATGTACATCCACTGCACACATAATCTGAAATAACAACTCATATTTCTCGCATCAAATGACATCAAAACGCATTTTAATGGCCAAACTAACTTTAAAATAGGCATTTTCCACCGAGAATAAAACGAAGTTCGGCCATGTTTTATTTTTCTGCAGGGAGAAATTTGAAGATCACGTGACATAGACGCCAGCCATTGGAATGAATGGTGAAAAAAAACGGGTTTGTCAAACAGAGCACATGGTGTAGTCCAAACGATAGCTGGGGATTCTGGGTAGTGTAGTGTCTTCTGCCATCCTTTACTCCGAAAAAATATTTGTTTCTCCGAATCGAAGGGGGAAAATACAAAAGCATTGCACACAATTTAAACCAATCAATGTTGTGTAATTAACAAGGATAATCTGGTGTTTTTTAGTCGATGAGTAGTGCAGATATCACTGTAAAATCAATCGACAGTAAGGGGAATACTTACTTCCGGGTGTACAATTCTCCGTTATCCAATGGGAATGGACGCTCACATTGCCTTTAAGGGCAGCCGACACAAACGAATGCCGTGCTTCCATGAGCGTCAAATCCCGCCGCAGATGGGAATACATTGCAATCAGTTGAAAGCTATTTGCGTCACTTTATGACGCTGAAGGAGCCTAGGAGCGTCACAACTGGACGCCACGGACACTGACCAAACGTCGTTATTGGACGCTTACGGTGTGTCCACACAGCAGCTTTGACCAAATCTTGAAAATCCTGGAGCTGGGCGTGTCTGACAGCTTGGGGATTTCGCGACCAACAACCAATCACATGAATATCACATGAATATCCCGCCCCCGACATACAAAGCAAAAAAACCCGGTTCTTCTACACTATTGTCAAATAGGAAGGGCTATGATGAACATTTATTTTTTTAACATTTTGAACATTTATGAGATTAATGTTTATGGTGCTATTTTATGCTACATTCCATGCTGGCTAATGATACTGTCTATGCTTACTAGCAACGAAGTAAACTACCAACGAAGTAAACTGGATATAAAATCCCCAAACAAGCGAAAACCTACCAGTTTCACCCACTGCCTCTGCCACCTCCCTCCATGCCTGGTTCCTCCGGTTTGTATCCCGGTAAGTAAATAGGGACTGGTCATAAAGAACCGGGTGATTTGCTACCGCAATAACTAAGTTCTCCTCCATTTTTGTGGAATATAGAAATGAACTGCGGGTCTGGTTCTCCCAGCTTGCATGCGGTTTGATTGGCTAGCGCTTGAACTGTCAGATTTGCATAAACGGATCTGATTGGCTGTCGCTTCCAGCTCAGCCTCAAAAGTTGAACATTGTTCAACTTTGGAATCCTGAACATCCTGGAAATCCTGGAAATCTTCGCCTCGCCCCCCCACAATGCAGTTCGGCGACAAGCGAGGGAAAGTGACGTCATCCCCATTCAAAGTCAATGGGCGGAGACGCGCTGGAAGCGGTGGACAAATCGCCAAAAGCTGCTGTGTGTACAGGCCGTTAGGGAGTGAGAGTGTGTTGACGTGAGCGCCCTCGTGAGCGCCCTCGTGACCAAAATATTTGACAGCGCTGATTGGCTGAAATTATGTTTCGGCGGCACAGTTTACTATTGAGACTTTTGCAACGTGCTGGTTGCTGCTGTTTGTCTCGGGGGCTCCGCCCGGTAATGTTAAACTAATGCCATGGGCAAGGCCAGGCAGGAAACATGTGACTTATCAGTAACTTTAGACATCGTAACACAATTTCAAACGAGATTTTATTGTAGATTATACATTTTAGTGATACCAATTGTATGATATTTACCTTGTTCATTAAAAATAAAAATATAAAATATATATATTTTTTAAATATATATTTTTTAATTTAATATTTTTTTAAATATTTTTTTTTGTATGTGGGAAGAGGTGGGGCGGCGCCCCTAGCGCCCCTATGGGCCGGCCGCCACTGACAGTAGGCTTGTTTGAGACAAGCGAGACCTGCGCAATTTCGATCAACGTCTTGCTAGTGCGTTGCATGATGGTTAGTCATTTTGTCCGACTTGCTCTGGAGCAGGGGTCACCAACCTTTTTTAGGATGAGGGCTACTTTCAAAAAATAAAACATGTCGGGGGCTACTTTTACTCCTCTTTTTTTTGTTTTTTGCAGTGTATATATTTAGCACATTTTAACATTATTATATGCTTACCTTTAACCTTTGTGTGCTGTTTGGGTCTGTGGGACCCGTTTTCAGTGTTTACTAAAAGAAAATGTATTCAATTTAATTATTTTAACCTGCTTTATTTGGGGGTGGGCCTCACATCCTCCAGGGGGGACCTCACATCCTCTAGGGGGGTCCTCACCTCATCTAGGGGGGTCCAGGGGCCTGCACCCCCGGGAAGATGTTTTTTAAAATGTTGAAGTGAAATGCATCAATCTGGTGCACTTTGAGCACAAAATGAATTTATGGATACAGCTCGCAACACTCATATGAAAGGGAGCTGTATACTTTTCAATACTCCAATCATCTTTAGAATATTATCACAACCAATAACAAATCATTTAAACTTGTTTATTCTTATCTGTTAGCATTCTTTCTTTTTATTTATGCATATTTTACTAATCATTCATTAAACTGTTTGTTGTACTGCCCTATAGTACACATTGGAATGATTTCTTACTTTATCTATATTAAATAGATAAAAGTGTGCTCTCCCTAGCTCTCTCGCTCTCCCTCTCTCTCCCTCCCTAGCTCCCTCTCTCGCTGTCTCTCTCTCCCTCTGTCTCGCTCGCTCACAGAGGCTGTGTGCTCCTCCGTGGCGAGGACGGCTTGCGTTAAAAAAAAATAATAAACATATTTGTAAATTGGGGGGACACAAACGGGATTTCGAAAAGTGCTGGGGACATGTCCCCCCCCTGTCCCTAGTGGAGATTACGCCATGTGTGTGTGTGCGTCAAGTGGAATAAATATATATGCAAGTTACAACACACAGAGTAAAACTCTGCCCCTCATGTGCTGTATAGGCTGGCATGACTAGGCTGTGTTCAATGGGGCTGATGTGTTGTGTAGATTCTGCCAGAAGGAAAATCAGCGGGGAGGTGCCACATTGCTTTTCTTCCCGACTGCAATGCTGGTCTTGCAAATCAAGCAAGAACATGATTGGTCGATATTCATTGTGGGGTGGGGGGAGGAGGGGTGTTAGATAGATATAGAGTTGTAGTAAGTAGATAGAGTTTGCTATGATTTAGGTTTCGTTTATGCATAGGGTAGATTCTTTTAATTACATTTCCTTTTTTGTTTTGTGTATTTTATACATTTTGGATTTGCTTGGCGAGCTATTTGTAGAACATGCCCCGCGGGCGACTCACGTTGCCCCTGCGGGCGACTGAGTGCCCGCGGGCACCGTTTTGGCTACCCCTGCTCTGGAGGCTCGCCTACATGAGACGTTGAAATCTCGCGGGACAAAGACGCCCGCAGCCTTGAGAGCGAGGCGCGGCGAGGCGGCGCAGTTCCTCTCCACGGGCTGCGGAAGCGAAATGCTTGATGGGAAACGACTCGCTGGTATCTCGAGCTGAGCGCTCATTGGTGGGTTTTACCCCGTGCTGCTATAGAAACTCTCCAATTGGCTCGGCAAAAGTTTGTTGTTGTTTTGTGTCAGTTTTACATCGCCACATCCATTCCAATTTTTCATCATTGTTCCACAATGTTTATCATCATGAAATTAATATCTATATATTTTATACTATACTTGCTTGCACTGCTTACCGTTTTCATACTTTATATATCTTAGCATATTCATACACACTGTTCATACTGCTCACAGGCTGCTGTGTATATAGTGTATTCATACCCCTAACTGTTTATTCATCATTCAATTCATTCTATATGTTATTCTGTAGATTATGTAGGCCTACATTACTTTTCACTTTACTGCTTGTTGCACCTGGTTAGAAGCTAAACTACATTTCGTTGTCTCAGTAGTAATATGTGCAATAACAATAAAGTTGAATCTAATCTTGAGCAGGAACAAATCTATTTACTTAGTACATATCTGACATTAACGATTAAACACATGTGTGCATTCTTTATAAATGCAAACCGAGTCAAGCCGACTCCGGAGGTGGCGGTATGCACCTTAAAGTTGTTTGCAATCCGCCAAAAAACCGAGAGAAGAAGAAGAAGAAGAAGAAGACGAAGCCGACTCCGAGCTGTCCGACTTCAGGCAAGCTTTTTGAGACCTCCCCCGGCTGCGATCGGCTATTCTCGTCTACTTTCGAGGCGAGCCGCAATGCGTCTCAAACAAGCCTGTTCTATCACACATCACATGCCTTCACCACATGCTTCACCAGAGTCCGCCATTAGCTCCTCGCCTCTGTTGAAATCGCTCAGACTTTTAAGAATACTTTGCCCACCGTGCTCTCACTGCCGGAATCGCGATCCTTTTTTTTTGGCCGCACTACTCTGGTGAGTTACGTCTTGCCTTTGCACAGTATTTAAATTATGTGTTATTCATTTCTGCATCTAATGCACTTTGTGTCGCATGGTGTGTTAGTTTGATTTGAGCTCTTGTTAACTAGCCTACATTTAATATCTGCCTCACTTGAAAAATGATTTAACTTACGTGTATGACAGTATTTTTATATTGTTTTAAGTTATATCTCAAAGTGGAACGTTTGTGTTGCAAAAGTTTTCTGGAAAAGTCGAACCTAAAATGGCGGCAGGCGGCGCGTTTTCTTCCTTCTTTTTGTTACCGCATGTTTTATTAATTTAGAGGCATAGAGGATTTACGTTCATTTGATCCACTACAATGTACCATAACCGTGCGTTCTGCATGTTTGTAAAAGCAACCTAACTTGAAACAGAGTCTAGACTATTCATTTTACAAGGTAATGTATAGTGCTGTAGCGACGCGTGACTTCAAAATATCGTCGACGACATATTTCCGCGTCGACGCGTCGCTACACACACGTGGGTCACCCAAAGCAACAAGCAGTTCGCAATCGCACTTCAAACACAATGGAGACTGAAACGGCTACCACCTCCTCCTCACAGGATTGCGCACGAAGCCCCCAAACGAAAACATCTCGCCCTAGGTCTTCAAAAGCATGGGAATATTTTAAAGTTAGTCCAAAACGCAAAGATATTTATATATGTATATCTCACTGAGACTGCTGCATAGCCTAGCAGAAGCAGCAGCTAGCTGTGGTGGCTACCATTAGCAGCTAGCATTTGCTCTCCGATTTTTTACATAAAATGGAATTATGGATTATAAATTCAATCATTTGTTTATACATAGACGTTAAAAACCTATGGATTAACCGATTCAGCCGCGTTTTTTCTAATTTTAATGCCATTGAACACGTCTTTTGATCAGATTGACAGCTACGGTGGTAAGACGATCTCCCTCGAAGCTCTGTGAAGGTAAGTGTTGTGATGACTGTATTTGCTTCCCCTGTCGCGAGTCCGGATCACTCAGTGATGATACTATATACCTACATAATCTGTGGAGTCTCAGCTTTAATCGGATATATTGTAAGTGCAGCTACGATAAGTAATAAGGGTACTTTTATCTTGAGTTCTGTGCCAATGTCCGTTAGCATTTTTCGCTCAGGGGTCATTTAGATGCTTCTTATGAGACTTGTGTTTTGTTTTGGTAAACATGGTTTGTATCGTCAATTAACTGAGATTATTTCCGTTAATCTGGTATAACACATTAATAGGTTCTTAAATATTAAGATCCCCTGAGACACAGTATCGTGAAAAAAATTTTTTTTACATTACGTTTTTTATTAAATGAACAACAGAAAAATAATCGTTCGATTAGTCGACTAATCGATCAAATAATCGCCCGATTAATCGTTTTCAAAATAATCGTTTCCCCCCAGCACTAGTAATGTATACCCCCCCAGCGTTTTCAAATACATGTAACTCAGCAAAGGTAATGATCGCACAGTGATGATACTAATACTTCTAGAATATGTGCAATTTCAGCTTTAATCTGATATCTTATCTTGGTTTTTAAATGTTAAGAAGCCCTGAGACACAGTTTCGTGAACAAGAACCCCTCGGTACCGGCGGCTGCCGGATTTAACAGATTAAGACTCTAGTGTTTCAAATTAGCTTGCTTTTTAGGGATGCTCCGATCGCCAATTTCGGGGCCGATCGCTGGAATCAGTATCGGCCGATCCGATCGAGTGGGCGGGGCCTAAATGGAAGATTTAAACATAACTTTAAATCTTCCATTTAAAGTGATGTTTAAAACTCAGTTAATGGGGCTCATTCACTGGAGCTTCCACAAACAACAATCAACTTAATTATTACATTCAAATGATGTACATTACTCAAGTTTACATTCACTTTGGATAATAACACGGGAGAAATTAGCGGAAACGCTCTCTTTTCCTCTCTCCCTCTCTCTCCCCCCTCTCTCCCTCTCCTGACAGCCTGTCAGTATATCATGCAGCTCACTGATCCAGTAATGAGTGACCCGACAATGAAGAATACATATAACTAGTTTAGCTTGTTCCAGAGGTAGATAAAATAGCTAAGTGTGTTAGGTCTAACTCTTACGGTACGTCCACACAGCAGCTTTTCAAAAATCTTGAAAATCTTGGAGCTGGGCGTGTCTGAAAGCTTGGGGATTTTTTGCGACCAACAACCAATCACATGAATCTCCCGCCCCCGACATACAAAGCAAAAAACCCCGGGGATTTTATGCGAGCAATATATATATATAAACTCCCCAAACAGGCGAAAACCTACCAGTTTTCACCCACCTCCCTCCATGCCTGGTTCCTCCGGTTTGTATCCCGTTAATAGTTCTGATCGTAAAGAACCGGGTGATTTGCTACCGTAATTTCTCGTTTGGAATATGAGGAAATGAACTGCGGTCTGGTTCTCCCTGTGTGTGTGTTTCGCTGCGCTTACCGGTCCGGCGGGTGGAGCTGCAGGATTTCTGCTTCACACACGTTGCATACCGCTATTTTACTGTGTTTTTCGGACACCTTAAAATAATGCCAGACCGGTGAAGCCATTTTGGCGAGCTTGTTTTGCCGCACACAGAGAAAAGTGTCATGTATTTTACGTCATGCGATCGGCTCTCGCGATTGGCATGTTTAGAGAGCACCGATCGATCGGTAGAGAGTGAGTATCGGCCGATCTCGATCGGAGCATCCCTATTGCTTTTACAAACATGCAGAACGCACGGTTATGGTATAACGTTAGTGGATAAAATGAACGTAAATCCTCTATGCCTCTAGTCTAAGTTAATAAAACATGCACAGACATGCATGCTGTAACAAAAAAGAAGAAAAGCGCGCCGCCTGACGCCATTTTAGGCTCGAAAATAGTGTTTTTCAGATCATTTTGTGAAAACTTTGCAACCCAGCTAACCTTCAATGTTTTTTCTCTTAAGGAAACTGAAGCAACTGGCAGATATATGGCTTCTTCAATCTGGTAAGCCTCACAGTGGAGAAACTGTGACGCGCTGGGGGGGGGTGCGACTGGCCACTCGCTCCGGCGCAACTGTGGCATGCTTACGGCCCCTACACACACGGCAGCGGGCTTGTCTGAAGCTCAACCAACAACCACTGACATGAATATCCCGCCCCGGACACACAAGCACGCGGTTTGATTGGCTAGAGCTTGTACTGGCATATGATTTGATTGTCACAATGCAATTTGGCATAGCGTGACGTCACTCCATTCAAAGTGAATGGAGTGATGTTACGGCCCCTACACATGGCGTTGTGCGTTGACGCTTCTGCCCATTCACTTTGAATGGGGTGACGTCACGCTTAGCCGAACTGCATTGTGGGAGCAAAGCGTAGCTTTCATGTGATTGGTTGTTGGTCTAGCTTCAGACATGCCCGCCCCGTTTGTAGGGGCTGTTACACTGTAGGTGCGCCGCGTTTGGGGGTGCTGCAGCCCCTTCCCGCGTCCATGTTTATTCCACATGGTTACTAAAATGTGAATGAATATTTAGTGCTCAACACTGAAATTATATTTGTGTTGGTGCCTGTGAATATTGTTACGTTTTCCAATGGCTTAGAGATGCAAACTTTGTGCTGCTGTCTTTGATACAAGGGCAGAGTTACTTGAACATTATAACATTATTATTCCCTTGATTTAAAAGTGAATGCAGACTACCTTTGCCGTGCGGCGCAATGAGATCATCAATGATGAGCTACCTGTTGGAGAGATCCTGGAACGCTGGCCTGCCTTGAAAATGGAGTCACAGGTGAAAATATTTTATTTATTACAACTATATAATTATTTTGTGTGCCTTTGTCACTGATAACTTTGACATGTTTACTCAGATTTAGCATGTTATGTTTCTGTTTATCTCTTCTGCCTTCAGTCCACATATACATTGTACTGTGAATTAAATAGTCATTTTATATTTTGGCAGAGTTTCACAGGATAACAAACCTCAACCTGAAGAACCACTTCTATGCGGAGTTGGATAGACATGTCCTCCATCTTTAGAGCCTGTTCAGGAAGAAGGCGGCAAGCAAGGAAAGGAAACTGAAGTTCTGGATCAGCTATCCGACTCATATGACCTCCAGGTGAGTTGTTTATGCCTCTTGGTGTTTTATTCTCATACTAGAGTGGATTATCTTTGTCAAAATGGTAATCTCTTCAGTCATGGAAGAGCCCTTTCTTGTGATATCAATTGTTGTGTGGTTATACTGTTTAGCATCCAAAGTAAAACAAAGATATGTTCTCACACTCAAGGAACAAGGTGACGTCCATGTCCTCCGTGCTGCTGTCCTCCGTGCTCTGCCTGCATATCTGCATGAAGATGACTCCACGTTTCCGAGGCTGTGGCATGTAAGTCAGCATAATAACTGTTTTCAATGTATGTGACAGATCATCCAAAAATATAGTTTATCTTGTTACATTGTTTCAGGAGCTCTATCACAGGGAGACAATTATTTGAATTTTTATATTGAAAAAATTATAATAAATGATAGATTTAGTTTGAAAAAGTATGAACTGTCCTGGAGTCATCAAAGCTCGATTCTGTCACTCAGGTGTTGTTAATCAAACATTATCTCTTGTGTTGCTCACATCCCGTTCTAGTTCCAAGATTTGAATATTGCCATAAGAATTGTAATTATTGTGGAGGTACACAATGGACATGTTGAATATAATCTCCCTTTACTTCAACACTTCAGAGGTGTTGAATATGATTTCTACTTAAGGATTTATTTGAAATTAAGCTCTAGGTTTCAGTGTATAAAATGGGCTCACGTGATTTAATAAAATACACAATCAAGAGAGGGCTTTCTTTCCTACAGCATCAGTGTTCAATACAAAATAATCTCTAGTGTTCCCCATATTTTTTTGTATGTGTAGTAGGGAGAGATTATACTGTAAATATATATTCAGTTGCCAGTTTATTAGGTACAACTAGCTAATAGTAACAGTCTAATACAGTGATAAAATAAATCCTACCCTTATGAAGGTTATACATGTTTTTTTGTTGAAAGTATTTATGTCAACTGATTGGTTATTTTGGAGGCTGACGTTTCTGGTACTGTAACATTATGTTGTGCAATGCTAATAGGCGTTTCCTTAAACCCACATTATGCCCAAAACATAAGGTTTATGATGTGATATGTCACTGATGTATTTTTCAGAAAACACATTTCTGAGATAGGCAATTTGGGTAACGTTTATCTGTTCTTGTCATCAGGTGGAGCAGTCTGATGATCCAGACACAGAGGACATCGCGGTCGGACTTCTCATGATCAGTACCAGGTCAACAGACACCACGCTCTTCTGCCCAGAGAGGATCGCTGTTGTCATTGAGGGTAACGGAGTTATCGAACTCCCCACACTGGCTGACGCATTCATCCTGCTTTTTGCACTGACCTTTGCCCTGCATCTGAGCTACCCAAAATAATAATAATAATAATAACTTGAATTTATATAGCGCCTTTCATAACCTCAAGGTCACTTTACAAATAAACATACACGGACAAGACATAAAAAACATAAACATAAAACAGGGGGCAGAAATGGAAGTGTAACTGGCCAACACTTTCGACTTCACCCAGAAAGTGTTGATGGGCCTGGATGAGGGGAACTTGAAGCCCTTGAAGCCCAGGGTGTTGAGCCTGAAAAAGCTTTTGGCAGTTTAATCCTACCAACAAAGTTGCACTTTCACACACACACACACACACACACACACACACACACACACACACACACACACACACACACACACACACACACTGTTCTCCTCTGTTTACATCCTGCTGCTTAACATCTGTGTTCTGTTGTGTTCATTGACAGATTTGTTACTGTTCAGCTTCAAGTTGAAGGACTGTTCGTAGATGTTGTTTTATACTTTTATATGTATTGGGTCTTTATGGTCCATGTGTTAAATTAATACGCAGAACTGTTCCTGAAAATTGTGTTCACTCATAAGTGATGGTTAAAATACACACAGATATTTCTCAAGGCCCTAGCACTGTTTTTATTTATTTAAGAGTTAAATATATTGAATTTGTATTGTGCTAAAATGCATTGTTCTTTTATAGTGGAAATGGAATGTTGGTGATTTGCCAAAGCTTTTCAAATTATCAATAAATGCATTTTTATATATATATACGGTGTGTTTGGAGATATTTCATTACACTATTATACATTATTATTATATTCTATTTAGCCCAACAATATAGTTAATTTCAATCACTAGCTTGGGTCAAATGAACAACCCAATGTATGGTTTATATTTAACCCAGTGATATAGTTAATTTCAATCACTAGCTTGGGTCAAATGAACAACCCAATGTATGGTTTATATTTAACCCAGTGATATAGTTAATTTCAATCAATAGCTTGAGTCAAATCAACAACCCAATGTATGGTTTATATTTAACCCAGTGATATAGTTAATTTCAATCACTAGCTTGGGTCAAATAAACAGCCCAGCACATGGGTTACAATTATCCAGCCCAGCACATGGGTTAAGACAACCCAGCGCGTGTTCTGTTCTATAGTGACTCAGCAGCTGGGTTATGATTGGGTTATTTTTTAACCCAGTAGTTTTAAGAGTGCAGGGTTTGAGAAGTTTTGCAGACTGAATGAGTTGTGAGTAGTAATTAGACCGGGCTGCTTTGCGATACTATGGTAGAGACCAACTACAACAGACATAAATAAAGCAGCGACTGTATTTGCAATTGACAGTCTATGTTTTTTTCATGTATAACTTTTCTCCATTTTCTGATTGATTCAACGTCAGTGATGGCAGGCTGAGATCCTCACCGCTGATTGGCTAACGCGAGAACGGGTCACGCTAATTTGACACTCGAATTGAAAAAATAGAACTCTTCCGATTTGACGCGGCCCCCTTCAATCGCTTGATTCGCGCAGCGTCATCCTCATTTCTCAAAGTTTACAATTCTTTGTGGACTTTATTTTCAGAAAATGTTTCACAAATTATCCTAATGCAAAGTGGTGGGGACAAAATTGGCCATGCCTATTGTAGCAACCCTGAAAAGCTGCAGCTGACAACTGCAGTGCTTTTAGAAAGAGACCAACTCTGTACTGGCTTGTATGTAATATATGATTGAGAACAGCATTTAAAGGTCACCTATTATGCAAAATGCATGTCTTTAATACATATGTGTACCCGGTCTGTAAGGAGACTCACAGTGTCAGAAAATAAAACCCTCTCTCTTTTCCTCCTTACCCACATCTCTAAAAACGGGGGTACAATGGAGCTGATCCAGATTTGCTACGGTCTTGACGTCATTACTGAAATGTGAGCTGGCTTTACATTGAACTCCTGGCAACAATAAGAAATGAAAAGAGGATGAGTTGAGTGTGTTTGTGTCTCACTGCTTCTAAACACATTTTTAGTAGTTCCCTTAAAGCCACTGCTAACATTACCTCGTCTTTGTGCGCCTTGCTTTATTTTAGTGAGTGCCCTTGTGAGATTGGCTTACAATAAACCGTTTATCATATCAGTTCATCCTTATGATTTCAGATCGGACAAAGAAACAGAGCAGTAACCTTAAAAGGAAAAAGATGAGTCTTCTCCCAGTTTACAGTTAAATTGTAATAGGATTCACCAATGAATCCTAACAACTTGTGTCTGTTTAGCCGAAGTAACTCCTGTGCAGAAGAGCTCCAGTTGGGCCACACCATTTCACTGGGCGACCGTGTCTCCTACAAAATATAATTCCAATACAACCAAACTGTATTCTGAATCACGGTTATAGTAGGTGAAATTGTATTCTCCCAGAATACAGTTTTAACATGTGGTTAACGTTGTTGAGTGAAACTAAATTAAACAAAAACAGTTTGGTTTTGTTTAGAAAAAAAACAACTTTGGTTTCAGACACAACAGAAACACCAGTGTCCTGTGTGTTTGACCCGTCCATCCAAACAACCTCCAATAAAACCACATTTCTGCTCTGATTGGCACCTATTTGTTTTGTATTTTATCTGATCTTAAGTTAAGCCCCAAGCCTGTTTTTCAGGTCTCAGGCTCGAAAATGACATTCCCAGAACAAATTACCATATGTGTCACTATCCTAATGTCATGTCACGTTTTTAGTTTAGTCTGTCTTGTTTTGGGTGTTGTTTTGTTGTTCTGTTCCCACCTGTGTCTTGTTATCCTGTCGTTAGTTTCCCTGGTGTGTCTGATTGTCTAATTGTGTTCACCTGTTGCCCTTGTGTTTCTGCCTCCCCTGCCCGGCTGTTCCTTGTCTCGTGATTACCCCTCCCTGTATTTAGTCTTGTCTCTTCCTGTATTCCCCTGTTGCTTCATTGTTTGTTTGTCCTCCCTCACGCTTCTTGTTAGTCTCTCCTGTCTCCCTCCTTGTTGGTCACGGTCAGTTTTGTGTGTTTGTGCTACCTGTGTTTTTCATGCCATGTTTTTCTGTTTTTTCAGCCTTTAAATAAAGCTCGCTTGTGTTTATAACCTTTACCTTTGTGTAGTCTGCATTTGGGTCCTACCTTTTTCCACGATTCCTAACAATCTTCCCTTCTAAAAGGGTTAAATTAATAATCTTTTTTCTCAAAGCAAGGTTACATCTGTGAGTTGGATGTAGAAGTGTCAGAATCAATATAGATGTTTTTTATTTTTAAAGTAAATTCAGATTGAACACAGTAAAAAAATGTAAATTATTGTGTCAGTCTAAAAAAAAATATTACTTATAGTGAAAACCACCCTTGAATGATGGGATGGTAGACTAAAAGCTTTAGGAATCCAAACTACAACATATAAGTACCCTGTATCAAGATTGATGCAAAACAAGTGAAATTTGACCTTTTTTAGAGAGATTTCAACCCAGTCTCATGGCATTTCGTGTTCACCAACACGATTTTTAATCTATTGATTCGTGTTCACCAACACGATTTGCCCCTTTTTTTCGTGTTGCACAGCACGATTTTAAAAGCAATGTATTTCTACTGCCTGCAGCACGTCTTTTTCTCCGGTCGGGTCGAGGAAGACCGGAAGCTGTGTGGTTCATAAAAACATGTTCTTACTCAATATCAAGCCACAGTTATTGCTTTTATTTGAAATCGTATAATTTCGGACTTTTGTTGCCGTCTGAGAGGAAAATAAATGGGGCTCAGAGCCTCAGGATACTGAAATCTGTATTTTTTAAATCTTTTTTTCCTTCTAATTTGTTATTCTTTTCAAAATAACACACTGTTATTTACTCACCAATAACACACAATTATCCTTGCTTTTATTTATTGGTTTAATTCCATAATCTCGGGCTTTTTTGGCGTCCGTCAGGAACTGAATTTCAAAATAAAAATAACCGGAAACAGACGTAGGCATTTTGAGCGATTACCCAAGATCCTCAGCTATGGTTTTAAGATCGCTTATTGGATGTTTTAGCCGCAATGCATGCTGGGATTTGGTGTTTATATGATATGAAATCCGGAAAACATTTTAAAAGAATAAAATAATACTTAATTCTGAGCACTCTTGCTTTTCTCTTTGAAAGTCATCACATAACGGCATTGTAATACACGGTTCGGCTGCATTGTATATTACAGATCTGCCGTAGTTCTTTATTTATAGAGCCCTGATGAGAAGACCTTTGGAAAAACTGAGAAAATGCCGCCGAAACTGAATACTTGACGTGCATCATAAATATATTCAACAATTAAACAACATCTTCAATTTCTCTTCACACAATACGTCTCCTTGCAGTATCAACACTAATTCGGCTGACTTTTACATTTGATCTAATTAACAGATAGGTTATATTTACACCATAACGGTGCACAGCTGATATAAAAGGACTGTAGTTTTTAAAGATATTACTGATTTTCTTTGAATGTAAGAATGTAAATACTGAGTCTGAAATAGTATAGCAATATGCTGTAAAATTATGTGAAAGCATGCATAAAACTACACATCTTCAGATGTTGTACGAAAACACAAGTGTCCTACACTAATAATACAAAGTTATTATGGCTGTGTGTACCTTGTGTGCACCTCCTAGTGGTTAAAGCACGTTATTGAATTATTGTGTTTTATTTGATTAACAAAATATTAAGAGTACATACTTTCATAGGGGGAAAGTATAAATATAGAATATAAAAAATCAAGAAGATACTATAAGTGATCTCTACAATAAAACAGTTTAGTGCAGAATGTGCAAAGATATTAATAGGAGGAGGTGCAAAACAGAAAAACGAATTAACCTTTATTTAAACATTAAATAACAGATTAAGGTCTTCTTTTAAATAAGAAAAAAACTTTGGGGGTATCTATCTACAGATAAATATTAAGCCTGACAAAGTACTTAACGTCTAATATATTGCTTTCCTGCAATGTTAACTATGTTGAAGCACTTATTTTAACTGATATTATACATATGAATTATACTCTTATGTATGTAGATAGAATAAGAAATGTGCAGAATATGACAGTTTAATGGTGGAGGTACACACATATTGATACAGTAGATGTCTTGTAATGCACTGTTGAGGAACCTGTGACCCAAGTGTTTCATTCATTGCATAACTACACCGTAGTTGTGTATATGATATGTCAATAAACCTTTGAAAATCTTGAAAGGGATGTGCAAAATAGCCATAATATACAGTCTTTAATTAACTATTAGAGAATAACGAGTAATGAATATACTTTATTACTCGTTTCCATTCATGTCAATTGCAGATACATGTTTAGTCTTCTCAAGCACCAACTATCAAATATCTCTCCTGATTGTTGGCACTTGACAATCACCTTACCTGAATTTTACTCAGGTGTAACTAAAGTCTGATTTAAGGGTTGTTTATATTTCACATAATTAATCAGAATCTGCAAAGTAACTCAAATAAATGCAGTGGAGTAAAGATACCAGGTTAACCTCTGAATTGTAGTGGAGTAGAATTACAAAGTAACAATGAGCTGTCATGTGGGTATTAATGTTGCGCATTATGGACACAAGCGATTTTCACCCATTTATTAATTATATGTTTTACATTTGATAACACCAATGTGTTTAATACTGGCAACTTCTAATTGTGGGAAAAACGAAAACGTTCAGTAGAGACGTCCCATAGAACATTTTGCGAAACACAATAGCCAGCATGTGTAGTTCTGGGGGGGCGTTCGATTCCAGTTTTG